CATAGCAGCAGGAGCCCGCACACGGCGGCACATCAGCGAGAACCCCGCTCAAGGCGGCATCAGCATCAGGAGTTCGCACACGGCGGACACATCATCGAGAAGACCGCACACGGCGGCCACATCAGCGAGAAGCCCCGCACCAAGGCGGAAATAGCAGAGCAACCGCGGCAGCAGAGAAGCAGAGCATCATTACCCAGGGATACCCGCATCAAGACGGAAACAACGGAGAAGCATTCAAGGATACCCGCAGACGGCGGAAGCACACACGGAGAACAGCAGCGCAGCAGCAGCTTCAGAAGTCCGTACGAAGACTGCACGACAGCAACAAACTTGCTCAAAGATAAGCCGACGAGCGACGCTCGATCTGGCCAAGACAAGAGCCAACCAGGAACACTGCGACAGGAGCCAATGCTTGAGTCAGTGGGGGCCACTTGCTGGAGGGTGCGCCTTCCCAACGTTCCCACTCCCCTAAGGGGGAAACTCAACGCTCCCAGTACCAGCATTAGCATTTCCCCCTCACTAATAACTAACCCCCAACTAAAACCACTAGTTAGTCATATTAGTAAACCTAAAAGGCTAATGAAACTTTGTTTCCCTACAGCGCGTCATACGCAAGCCGTCGATTTGACACGGACCAGCCAGCCCGCTCGACGCAAGAAAGCTCGTCTCAGGCCTGGGCCAAGAGGCCATACACGCCTGGACAGCAGCGGTGGTGCCAAGCCTGTTACCATCCGCTCCCCGTCGAGTGACCCTTGGAGACGTGACCGCGAGCCCCGAGAGAGAGGGTGCCAGCGTTGGCCACGGCCGCCACCACAAGCAACGACGACGATGATCTGGCCACCGTCATCCCGGGAAATTCTTCCCCGGGCAAGGAGAAGGAGACGCCAGCACTGGCCGCGGCCATCACATCCGCCGCGCCCACATCACCACGGAGAACGAGATCTCCATTTTTTCGCGCCCCCGAAGAAAGAGGGGGATGTGAGGAGTCGTTCGACTTCCCACAAATACTGGCGGCCAACTACAACGGCAACCGCGCCAGCCGCCGACAGCAACAACAGCATCAGCAGCCAACAACAACAGCAGAGGCAACGTCAGCCGAAGAATATCAACAGCGCCAGCAGCGAATATCAACAGCGTCAGCAGCGAACAACAACAGCGTCAGCAGCGCCCAAAAACAACAACAACGGCGGTCAGGAGCCGGCAGCGACAACAACAATAGCCGACGGCAATAACCACTGCCGCCAACACTCATGGAGAGCCGCCGCAGCCAGCAGCGAAATCAAAAACAAACCGGCAAACGCCCAAATTATTCTCGCTTTGTAAACTAAGTTTTTGGAAATAATTTCGTATAATACTTTAATCACTTCGCCCTTTGTAAACATAAGCTTTGTATATAATCATTCTCTATTGTTTTTGTAAAATAAGCTCTGTATAGTTAAGCAGCCAAGTTTCGCACTATAATCATCTTCTAGTTGTACAGAATTTAAGCGTAGGCAAGAATTAGTAGTTATCTTTGGTTCCCCGTTCTCACATCTCTAGATCCCGCACACACACACACACACACACCTACACTCGGAGAGCAGAGAGAGTTATTCACCACGAACAAGTGGCCACGGAGTTAGCGCCGTACGAGAGCAACGGAGAGCGAGTATACGATCGAGCGCAAAGCAACCCCCGAAAATTGGCACGCGCCCACGGGAGAGAGCGAGAGGGAAGCTGATGCACCGAAATGCAAGAGCAATGGAAAATTACCAGCGCGGCCGAAAATTTGGCAAAGCCGCGTGTCTGGACTTTACTTTTGCGGAGGCGACGAAAACGTATAGACGTGCGAGCGGTCGACGGAGTTTCAACGTAACCACAACGGGAGTTTCTACGCGACGGAGTTTCTGCGGCCAACGAGGACAATGTTATAACCCGAGACCAGCCAGGAGGTGGTGCTCGAAGTGACCAGGGATAGTGACGGCAGCCAGTGGAGTTGCGGAGAATTTGGGTGGCCAAGGAGGCACCTTTTTGGAAGCGGACGGAGGCGAGGACGTGGCGGGAGCAGCAGCCACCGGCACGTGTGTGTGTGCGGAAAACGGAGACGGGTGAGTGTATAGGGAGGATCGCATTTTGGCCAGCGGGTACACGTGTGAATAGAAATTTCTCGATGGCCGAGATGCGGTTTTCGCTAGAGTAGGCTAGGAAATAATGATCCCAAAAATCTAACCAAAAATCCCTGCAAACTTTATTAAATAAAAACCAACGAAGGCGAAAAGAAAATTCTGGAAACAACACCACTTGATTAAATAAAAGAGACAATGAAAACTGAAATTAATTAAAATAAACTCGTACGTATTTACATTTCGGTTCTTGCGGGGAATGGCTGAGTTTCGCCCACACTGGGAGAAATTTTACTCCAAACTTTAATAATAAAATTTTAAGAAAATTCTATTTAAATATATTTTTGCTCTCGCGGAAAATCTAATCACTGACCGCCACTTTCGAGAGGCCGTACGCTGCCCACACTGGAAAATAACATGCAGAGAAATTTAACATGAGGAAAATTTAAATAAATTCAAGAAGAGCTCTCGTAAATAAAATCTTCGGCTCAGATCGAGTCCAGCTCGCAGGGAACGACCCAAGATCTTGCTGGCCATGACTCACGTAGAATATTTTCCCAAAAATGCCTAGATTTTAGGCCATAAACTCTGCCCTAGGAAACAGTGGTCCCCAAAATCGACCCCTCTCTCGGTCTCCTTCTAGCGATTGCTATGGGCCCGACCCAAAACGCGCTCCGACGATTATTTCGCTTTATTGCAAAGGCCGGACAAGTCATTTCTCTGGCTTCGTATCCCGGTAACTGACAGCCACCATCTCACGTCAGTTTACCGCGCGTCAAAACACTTTGTCCCACATCTTTACAAATTTTTCTGTTAAAGAGGACCTTGGACGTGACTGAGGCTTACCCCAGCCGTCGAACTTCCTTACAATATTCATAACGGTAGGCAAACAAATGTAAATATGCGTCGACATATGGCAGAAAAAGAAGTACAGTCGAGTGATCTTTCAGCTGAATTCGAAAATGGAAACTGATATATGTACATATGTAAATATGTAAATTAAATTAAAGTTTACTTTTTGTTACTTTTAAACCAAGTTTTAGGGCACTTTCTTAGGACTAAATATATTTAAATGCACCTTAAAATCCCACCGGAAAATACACAATCTTTAAGGCACTCTTTATGCCCCCTGACATGTAAGTAAGCCACCTTACGAATATATATTGCATCATAAAAAACACATAAAAGCCCGCTGGTGCCTCTGGGTTAACTTTTCCTTATTGAAAATACATCAAACGAGAGGGCTGAAATTAGGTTGGCTTGATTACCCTAACATTCTACCAGAAAATAAGTTAAACAAGTTGCCATGTTTTAGTTGGCCAAACTTTTTTGACGAGCAGTAGTTAGAAAGTACATGAATTTCGTTGTTATAACATTTTGGCCATACATTAAAACCATTAAACAGGTAACCGTCAAGGTTTTATTAATCCTGTGCAGGTATGCCACCAAATTGCTTCGGTTGTGTCAAGGATGATATTTACTTTTCCTTCTGACGTTGGACTTAAATGGAACAAGACGAGAGCTGTCCTCGTCTCCTCCTTTTTCACTGGGATTTTCATATCCCATTAGCCATCAGCCATCAGGATATACTTAAAGGACACGCGCTGTCACTTGACGTTCTACCTGTCGCGAGTGTAATTATACTCATTCCTGCACTCGGAATTCAGGTCGAGTACTCGGTCCCCATTGCCACCCAAGGGCCAACCCATCCGTGCTAATTATAATACCTGGGGTTCGTTGGCTTAAGGTGGCTTACATCTTAAATGAATGGGATTAGCCGGCAGCTTCTTTTCGGGGTCTTGTTTTGCGAATCGATTTCAGCCAAGGTTGCCCTATCGATAGCGAAACGGTAAGATATGTGGACAGATAGCGACTTGATGTGGGTACAATCATGGAAATATTCATCGATTATGTGACAACATTTGGGGCTTTTATTTAGCGGCAATGTTCTCTGGGCTTTCCTTTGCCCTTCGGGTTCCCTTTGTGTGTGTAATCTATTGAACATTTTTCGCTTTTCCTATTATGTAAAATACTAGTTGTACGAGCGGAAAAGCGAGGTGGGGAATAGGTAGGAGGCCCAGCTCACATGTTTGGTTTGCCAGTTGGTGGCGGCGATTAAACTTTGACTGTGACTTGTTTGCCTAGTTGGCCGGCAAGAGTGCTTAACGAGAAACTTTATAATAACGGAGGTGTGTTTCACGAAAAACGGAGGTTAGTATATGGGCTAATTAAATGGCTTTCGATTGCCTGGAATAAGCCTTGAGTCACCAGCCAAGTTGCTTGCCTGCTTTTTGTTGGAGTGTAAGGCGGGTGTTATTTATTTGCTGATCAATATTTGCAGATAGCCTTGTGGGTAAATAGATCCATCATTTTTTCTGTAGGGGAATGACGATTCTATTTGTTTAAAAACATGTTCAGTAGAAGCTGAAGAGGCTAAATAATATTTAAAAATATTATTTGGAGTATACAAATCAAAAATACAATTTTTAAATATGCAGACTACATAACTATTTTATTTAATTCAAAAATATCTCCAGGTGTAAGTTTCTTTCTTTCTTTTGCAACACAAATTTGTTTCTTTTTGATTCTGGCTTATATCCTCCAGAAGTTTGGCATCGCTGCCAAAAAGTTGCTTTTGGTTAAGTGACAACTGACCCGCTTTTTTTTCCTTGGCACTCGGCACAATCACAACAAGCTCTTAAGTCGGTCAAAAGCTAATCACAGCTAACGAATAACAACCATTTTCTCACCCGCAAAAACCTCCGATCGAAATTCAAATTTGGCCAAAAATCCAACAGAGAATGTCAAGCTCAGAAGGGGATTTCCCACAGAGAAATTGAGGCAGATTTTCTAACATCTAAGGGGGATGGATGCAGATGCAGAGAATAAGTTACTTACCGCCGCGGGGGGATGCGGGCGAGGAAGGACAACGATGCGGGAGGGGCGGAGGAAGCCCTCGATGAGGCTGGCGCTGCCTACTGACCCAGTTACCGTTACAGTTAGTTACTGTTACAGTTTCTGGCTTACTGTGGCGACCTCTTAAATGCTCGTTACCGTTGTTTTCGTTTATCTTGAGGTTTGTTTTCTATCAAATATTTTTAATATTTTATATAGATGGGTTCTTTTTGGCAGTGTTTGGTTGTGGAGTCCTCGGAGATTGATTGATTGGGTTATTTTTAAATTCTTTATCGATTTACACCTTGGCGGTTTGCAGAGCTCATTAGCGACAGGTAAGAGTCCAGCATTTACTATTTATTTAACTTTTAACAAGCATTTGCTAATTTTTGGCTCACTAACTTGTGTATTTTTTGATGGTTATTAATGACTTAAATGCACATTTTGGGGAAATTCAACTACTTTTCACTTTATCATAACTCTTGGGGGTGTTTAAAGAAATAATATCTTTTTGGTGGCTTAATTGGCTTCGAGGTTTTACTTTTATTTAACTATTTTGTATTATATATGTAATTTGTTATTTTCCGTTTGCAGTTTTTGGCCGCACAACGCGAGAAAAGCGAAGGAAAAGCGAGAAAAGCACGTCCGCACTGGGCGAAGAGCCAGGAGAACCTGAAAATCAGTATCCAACAAGCGGGGCGAATTCGGCTAGCGCCCCATCACCCTCTCTCTCTCTCTTACGCTCTCGGTGTGGCTTCTGCCCACCCCCTTTGGCAAGTGGAGCTTTCCCTCTGCCATGCTTTTGACTCTCTTCCAGCCCCCCCAAGCTCTTTGCCGCTCTCTGGGAGCCGCCGCCTTCATATCCTTATCCCGCCTGTGACATTTACAATGTCAGCCTCCAGAGTCGGGATTCCAATTCGCCGCGGCGAGAGAGCGTGAGCAAGAGAGCGGGAAAGTTAGCCCCAACTAATTTGTTTTCGGCGTTTTTTATTCGCCGGAAAACTCCTTTGGGCCCAGAAGCGCTCTTTTGATTTTTAAGCGTGGCGCTGCTATGCGTGTTTCGGTCTTGTGCCATTCCGGCAGTCATATGTTAGCCACTCACCTACAGTTTAAAGAGAAGGGTATATGGGTGCAGATATAGGAAAATATAAGAAAATATATATTAATGTAGGTATATTATTATAAAAATATTTTTAAATATATTAAAATCATAATAATATACATATCATATCTCTAAAGAGATGATTTGGTTCTGATCTTTCAGTCACTTGCTTACTTTCTTCTGATAATTATTATAAATCATAGTTTCTTTAACTCAAATTATTTTATATTCAATCTTTATAAATATTTAAATAAATATTGGGATAAAAAACTAATATTTCTTGGGTTCTATAGATTTTATTAACGAAATACTTTAAAATTAAATTCTTTTTAGAAGTTTTGAACTCAATTTTATCTACTACTGATTCTCTAAATTATCCCATTCTTATACGATTTTCGGCTTTTATAAGTACTTCCTTTAATAATAACCTTTAAAACCACTCATTTAATTAATCGATATTTCCTATTCCAAATTTTCACATTAAACATATATAATTCTTCCTTTTTCTGGGAAGCTTTTGAACTGTTGTTTGTTAGTCTGAAACAATTAAAAGCTTATATTTCTCAATACATTGCTGTGTGAGCTGCGATTTGTGTGCTATACGATTCTATCACTGAGAGAAAAAATGTACAAGAAAATTGAACAAAAAACGTGGCCTATTGTTTTTGTTTCGTTAAAGTAAAAGTGGATGGATTATATATAAAAATATTCTGAATTTTTTTTTTACATTTTGTGGTGGGATTTCAAGCTATTTCTAATAGTTGCAGACTTTTTTTTCTCAGTGTTATAGTACACCCGAAAACCATTCAACTTTAGGTTAAATAGGATCCCAATTGGAGGCCGACTTACCATCGCGATGGGTCCGAGTGGGTGGCCGCCACAATACACCCTTCAGCGGGACATCAGGTGGCCCTGGCCTGCTCATGGGTTTGTCATTACGGGCGCGTGCCTTTTGGCCGGGAAATTGAGCCACTGGTATGACTGATAAGTGGCTATTGGCCAGGCAATGCCCTCTACCGCCCCATGACTGCCCCAACCGAAAGGCAATTGCTTTATAATTCAATTGCTGACGTCGTCTCTGCTCCAAGATCAAAGAGGTTTCCTAATTATCCAGCTGTGCTTCACTTGATTGATGGTCTGGCTTTTGGCTTTATGCTTTTGCTTTGTGGTGCACTCGTTTATTTGGTGGTTAACTGTTTACTGGGTGCTTGTGGTGCTACTTGACTAACTTATGCTATTGGTTATTTAGGTAAAAGTGGATGTTTGTTGGTATTCCCCGGGATGCTCTCTTCTCTCCCCGAAGAGGGCGTGATCGTGCTCCACCTGACAGGGATCCATGCTGGGTGTGGGCATTGCCTGCGGTGGCATTGGCTTTTCCTCATGCAATACAGTCTCCTCATGCTCCGGATATCGAAGCAGCTGCTGCGGTTGGGGCTCTGATTCCCTTTCCCTTAGATGTTGACCCTCAGCAGACTCTTCGGTACTGCCAAGCTGAGGAAGTGGTCTCCTGGCTGGAACTGGGGCAAAACTTCTAATATTTTGAATCCTTCGATGTGGTCCCACTCGCCTCAAGTCCCAATATCGCTGTGGCTGATTAGGATTCCTCGATTGATGATGATCAATTTCATCAACACAATCCAGTCCCCGCACTATATTGTTCATGTAGATCGAGTGAGGAAGACGTTTCCTGTACTTGGGTCTGGGTCTGGGAACAATTTGCTTATTGGATATAAAATAATCCTTCTGCGGGGGCCCTATCCGTGTGTTTCGATGAAGTGGCTTGCCAATGTTACCCTCATACAATATTGGTTCCACATAGTTTTTCACGGGCTTTCGATAGCGATACGGCATTTGGGGTCTTCTTGGAGCTAGAGGGTATGTAGGAATATAATGTTTATATCAACAGAAATTAGCTATATATTTACGATCTGAATTTGGTTGTGCTGGCATAAACTGGGGACACAAATTAGTGTCTTGTTCCTCCGTGTCCTCACAGGGTTCCTCCATGGAGTTTACACCCTTACTATCAGAAGCTGATAATTAAAAGTTAAATAAATATGGGAAATTTTTTATAAATAGTTAAAATCTCCCCCCACTTACCTTCACCTTCGGCATCTTCACTTTCTGGGTATTCCGGCAGCTTGGTGGTCTCCACTTCGTCTTCGCAACTGTCTTCGGTGGTGGTTTCCGGTTCGGAAGTGCTTGTAGTCATTGGCGTAGTAGTCATGACCGGGGTGGTGTTGCTGTCTTCTTCCGGTTGGAGCCTCATTTCGGCAGCATCGGTGGGCAGAATTACATGAATCACCTCGCTGGGCTGGGTGGCGCCATCAATCTTGATCTTCGGCGGATCGGGGACATTGGGGGTGCCTTTTCCATAACCCTTCCGATTCCTTCTCCTGATCTGTGCCGCTTTCAGGCGTTTTAATTGATTTTCAGTAAGTGGTCTTTGAGTGGTTGTTGTGTAGCTTGTTGTCTTTGGTGTTGTTGGATATTCGGGTGTAGTAGCTTCCTGCTCTGATGTGTTTGTGGTAGGATCTTCTGACGTCGTTGAGGTGGTTTCCTCAGGCGTCGTAGTTTCTTCTACAGTTGTGGTTTCCATCGTTGCTAAAGTGGTTGAAGATGTTGTTGTTGTTGAATTTGGTTTTAGCTTCTTATTTTTGGGAGCATATTTTCTAATATTTATAATTTTAGAGTCTGGTCCTGTTGCTTCCATCGTTGTGGAAATTGTTGAGGGTGTCGTTGATGTTGTGGAATTCCTATTTTTGGGAACTAATTTTCTTAGCTTTATGAGCTTGGGAGTGGATTGTGTTTCTGGAATGGGTGAATCTGTTGTTGAATTAGTTTGTAAAGCGGCAGTTGAATTTGTTGATTCCGTTGTTGACTCTGTTGGTTTTTTATTAACAAAGTTTTTTGTTGGCCAAAGTCCCTTTTGTTTTCCCTTGGGATTGCACTTCTTTTTGGGTTTTTTTGTGGTTCTTATTGTCTCAGATGCCAAAGTGAAATTGCCGCAGGGATCCTCTTTTAGGAGGGGCGTCCTCAGCAACAGTAATCTCACAAAACAAGGATGCTCCACAGGCAAACCTCGCCTAAAAGATGGCTCATATGGTGCCAGGAAATCCACACACTCCTCGCTCTCGTCATCGAATAGGTCACTGAATTGCTGCTCCTGAGATCCACTCTCATCACAGCCTATAGAAGCTGCCTGCATCAGCGAAATATCCTTGTCATCGCATTCTATAGAAGGCGCTGGCAAAACTGAGATATCCCTCTGATCCCGGCCATTAATAGGATAGCCTTCGGCCTCCCTCAGCATCATTTCCAGCAGTTGCATCTCCAAAGGCGAACTAGATGAGGATTAGGGCATTAGGGGCATTACTTATGTTTCTAGCAACTCACCCATAAACTGAAGGTCCGAGAAGTAGCACCCACAACCAGAGCAGCAGCAGCATCATCATGGGTCGAGTGTTTGGGCCGATAGTTTCCATGGAAATGTTGCCCCAACCCGTTCGACATTTGGCTTTTGTTGAGTTCACGTATCTGTCGGATGCAGAACGCTGCGCTCTCACCTTCTGTCAATTGAGACATCGTTCTTTCAGATCTGTAAGCCACCCACCCAGGCACCCCTCCCGCCCGAAATTAAATCATAGTTCTCTAGCTCAGCTTTCTCATTAGACTTTTGCCATCCGTCTGGGCGGCGTCTTGGTCTCTGTGCTTTTGTTTTCACTTTCGTTCACTACGTGACCTGTGCTGAGTTCGGCATTTTTTTGGCTTTTATTTACCATTTCGTTCATACTTCGATGTTGTCGTAGGGGATACCCCTTAAATGGGAGGGTAGATAGGGTATATTGAAAGGGGAAATGTAATATAAATCACCATTAAAACATTATTTCAAAAAAGGGAAGATTTAATACATTATTTTTGTCTTTGATAAATATATTTTCAAACCTCTTTAAAGCTGTAAACACCTTGAAAAAGTATCAATATATTTATTTTATTGGTCATCCCTCAGTCAACTCTCTACTAATTAATTTGCTTTCGTTCCTGACTCGTATTTGTGTTTTTATTTATCCAATTTATTTAATTTATTATTGTTACCATTTGATCCAACGTCTCGTTCGTCTTGTTTCCGTTTTTATGCTAATTACTTTTATTGTCGTTTTCGTGGGGGCGTAAAAAAACCGAATTGTGGCCAGAAGGGGGAGGGAATCCATGGCACCATGGGGTCTGGGCTACCAAGTAATTAATACCCATCAAATGCTTGTGGTTTTGGCCCGAAGCTCTTAGAATTTTCTGCTACTCTTCGCTCGTTCTGGCATTTGGAAAAAAAACATCTGTGCAATTACAAAAGCAGTTGCCAACTGTCTGCAATTAAGGCGATGGAATAACATAGTTTTTATTATGCAGTTTATAGAATTAAGCAAGTCGAACTTATCGGATTTGGTTAATTGAATTTAAGCCTTTAAATTATCATTTATTTAAACAGTTCGTGACAATTGTTGGGGGAAAGTGTGGTTGAGAGATGACTGATAAAAGTGGAAAATAAAACTTTCTCTGGGTGATGCAATAAATATTCTAATGAGGAAGTGATTGCTCAGGTTTCTGATTTCATTTTAAATTATAAACTTTTATATGGAGTTTTTTTTAGAAAATTTAAATCAGAATCATTCGAACACAACCTTTACACAGGCCTTATAAATTATTTAATATATTATGTTAGCTACATGTACGAAATATTTGCAGCTGCCAAACATTCCCTTTGGGGAACACTTGAACTGAAATGTACCACCAAAATCGTCCCTTCCTCCTTAACTTTTCGTCCTTGTTTCCGTCACATTCCGAAATGTCAGCCAGGAAAAATACGTGTTTGGGGAATGAGCTTAGGGCGACTTTCAGAGCTTGTCATTACCAAATGGCATTCGCGTGTAATTTTTCTTGTCTTTCTAGAGCAATCTTCATGATTTTCCAGCTGCTTTATGTGAAAATCTGAACTTGAGGCGTTTGTTCTCAATTAGTATTTGTCCGCAAGCAAAACAATTTCCAATCAAATAACAACCGCAAAGTCAAAAGTTTACATAGCAACTATTGTTTTTGAAGAGAGCATATTAAATGGAAACTGCTTGGCTGTTATCTCTAAAAAGGTTTGCCCTTTTTCCCTCCTCCCAGTTATCTGTGTTATCCTAGTTATTCAGGACATGCAACAGTTTTTCGGGACTCGGCACGCAACACTAACTAAATAATGTTGACACAGGCGTATCAAAGTCGCTGGAAAGAGGTTACGGAACAGGACATGAGACATGACAGATGTCTCAAATGGCTCAAAGGCGACAAAATAATACATCAAATAAAGGACAGTAATCCCTCTAGGATAGTAAATATATAATAAAAATATTTGATAGTATGAAATATATACTTTATACAATAAAAAATGTTAAAAGGATAAATATAGCTTGAAAGGCAGTAAATATGCCAGAGGAAAGACATATCCAGGTCTGACTGTACCCACAACTCAATTTTGTTCCAAAGCAGAGTCTCAGTTCTTTCCTTGTTTTTTCTTTGGGGTTGAGTTAGGTGGCTTTTGGGGTCTCTGTCTCGGGGTTTCGGTGTTTCGGTTTCGGCTAGGGTCTCAGTCTCGTGCTAAGCAATGTCGCGTGGACATCGTGAGCCGTCAATTTAACAATTGATAAAACCAGTTATCTAACACTTGAGGTTGTTTTTGCTTACTTCGGTTCTGTCGGGTTTGAAGCGGAGCGATCAATGTAACCGGCCGAAAGTTGATAAGAGTTTGCCATTTTGCCACTGGCCATGATGAAGTCCAAGTATTTTATAGCGGCAGTACGTTAATTGCTCAAATGTTTGCATGTTTACTGATCTTTCAAGTGTCTCGATGAAGAAATTGTATTGCAAGGGTACAGATATAAGTCCACAGGAAACCCACTAATTAAATAAATTAATTAACTGTGGCTCACTAAAAAATATGCATGCTAATAACTGATTTATTTATTAAAATTTTAAATAAACTTTAGTTTTTTTAATAAAACCTAGATAATTATGAACTTGTAAGTAATGTATTGTGTGGGGTTTTTGGTAAATAAGAAGGAATTTTTCTATGAAATGCTTTTCATTAGCACGAAAAATACTTTTAAATTATCAAATATTAAATATATTTGGCTAGGTTGTTTTTTTTTAATTTTTATGTTCTTTATGTCTTATTTTTATTGAATTTTTGATTATTTCAATTTATTTTTTCTAATTCCCCCAATATGAATTAAAAACCGCAGATTTTATTTTTATGTGAAACTTTTTATTTCATTTCAGTTTTGTATTTTTTTTTTTGGTTTGTTTTGTATGTTTAAATACTTATTAAAATTGTTTTTGTTTTTTATTTTTCGTTTTTGTTGCTGTGTGTGTTGTTAGCGTCTGCTTTTTTCTGTTGTTCTTTGTGTGTGTGTGTGTTTGTGTTTTTTTGTGGATTTTCTTTTTTTGCTAAATAATGTTTTGCGATTTTTTTTAGATTTTTTTTTCCTTTGCGACGGTAGCTAATGTTCACTATATAGTAATTACATATATAGAAAGATGCATGTATGCGCTTGTGTGTGTGTGTGTGTGTGTGTGGGTGTGAATGAGTATGTATTGTGTGGGTGAGAGTTTGAGAGAGTTTTCTATCGTTTTGCGTATCATTTCATTCATTTTGCTTATATCATTTCAATAATATTTCGTTTGTTGCTTAGTTAGGAATGGAAAAAAATTACAAGCCATAAATAATGGTAGAAAAAAACTTTACAAATTACATTTTCAAAGAGCTTTTTCGGCTTTCCAGAGACGGAGATGGAGAAGAAAGTGACAGCGACGGGAAATAGAGGAAAAGAAAGACATCGCCCCGTCTATTTACAAAAGTATTTGTCCTCGTAACGCTGACAATAGTCGCAGATCAGCTGACAACATCTTCCGTTGTTGAAGCGACACCGGCACTTTTCCACGTGCTTAAACTCCTTGGTGGTATAGCCACGCCCACAGCACAGGGTCCCACAGTTGTCCGGATGCAGGCATTGGCGATCCTTGGTGACCCCGCAGTAGGAGGGCGAGGTCTCCAGATAGTACAGAGTCGTGTATTGTGACTGTTGGGGCTGGAAAGGAGGATATATAATCATTAGGTCACTGATGGTATCCAATCCCATTTCAAACCCACTTTCTTGCGTCGCTGCTTTGGCTTTTTCATGCGACTCGACGAAGCCTGTCGCATGGAGCGCTGGTTGGGCGCCTTGCGGATGGCCTCGTTGTACTTTTTCCTCAAAAGCGTGGCCGTGGCATTGAAGTCGGCCATCTTCTTCCAGCAGGTCTTCATCGAACAGGAGCCAGAGACGCCGTGGCACTTGCACTTGTCCATCATCAGCGAGGAGACGGCCTCAATGCCGACCTGAACAACAAAAGATTAATTAATAATCCTAAATTTAAGTGTTTTTTTGTGTCATCCACTCACCTCAGAGTCATGTCGCAATATCTCGCTGACCTCGTCCCCATCGCCGCCGCGCAAGTCCAAAAAGCTGCGCGTCACCCGCTTGCCATGCTTCAGATTATCGTTGCATCCGCCCCACTGGAAATCCTGCGCCTCCCGGTTATGCTTCTTGGGGCCGCAGCTGCACTTGGTCATCCGGCCCTCGGCACAGGCCCTGGCAATCGAGTGCGTCATGGCGGCCGCTGTCAGAGCGTGCACAAAGGCCGTCTCCTTGTACAGCTTCTTGAAGATATTCCGCTTGCCACGCGTCTCAATCGAGCAGTTCCAGCGATCGTAGCGGAACTGCTCCTCACAATGACTGGTGGCCAGGCGCCGGGCTTCGCTCAAGGTTCCCGGCAGCCCTGTCTCCTTGCGACACTGGTGGTTCTGCCGTCGGGTCGCGGGCATATAGCGGCAGGGTCCGCCCACCTGCCCCTGGGAGGTGAACACCGCCATTACCGTGTGCTCTGAGATGAAGTGCTCGCTGAAGGGGAGAGAAGAGATGGCATTTGGTTAGTATTTTGTTGTTAATTTGTAAGTTCTTTATTTAAAAAGATTTTTAAGCATATAAATATATTATTAATATTTTAATTTTTTTATTAAGCTATTTATTTAATATTTTTTAACGCTTTAAACGAATTTTACACAACTTCTTGTGCGACATACTGTGGAAATTAACAGAACCCGGTCACTCCACAATTTTCAACAACAGCTCTTTGGCGCCATCTAGCGGAAGTCTGTACTTACTTCAACAACACAGATGGCGCCACAAAAATTTGTAAAACTGTTAAAATTCAAATTGAATGTTGTATCTCAGAGTTTTCGAACAATAAATCCCAATAAATCCCTCAAATATATCTTATAAAATTTAATAATTAACATCGACAACCTTCAGAGATTACAAAAAATTGGTTTCAAAAAAATTTAACTTCTTTATGGCCAGTGATAAAACATCAGTCACACCCAAAACTATGAAATTTTATTTGATTTAATCAAAGTTACAACATATCTTGAAGTACGCTTTTTCTTATCAGTTTTCAGGTTCTACGAAGCGGAAGAAATTTCGTTTTAATTGGGCGGCCTGCTCCATCAGTTTCCAGTTATTTCGGGCGCTTCTTATGGGAACGAATGGGTGCTTGCGTTTCTTTTTTTATTCTTTTAAAAAGATGCCGCCAGCTCACCTCACCTCACCCGCTGCTTCCTGTCCAGCCCCATCATCGGTTATCATTTTGTGGCACTCTGCACTCCCTCCTGAGGGGTTGCTTCTTTTTAGAGTATGCTGATTTGCAGGAAATCTTAAATTCCCATAAAATTTAAGTGCATCGTAAATTGGCGTATGAGTAACGAGCTCAGCATATCTGAGGCTATCGCACTATCTGACTATCTGACTATTTCCGTCTCCGTCCTCGCTTCGAGGCACAGATTTTCCTATACACCCAAAGAAAATGTTGGGAAAAACATAAAACATAACATAAATGTATGTGTTAAATTGAAAAAGACTATAGTGAACTCTCTTCTTATCCATTTAAAAAAGAAAACAATACAAAATTCTAAGACATCCATTTAAAATACTTTAAGTATATTATTTATATTCTTTTTCACATTCTTGAAAATCATTTTCTTTTAGTCAAAAATTGTTTTCTGTGTACAAGTGTGTTCCTCCGATTTCTCCAGTTCATCGTTCTCGTGATTCTCCTCCACTTCGATCTCAACTTTCGCCACTCACACAGAGAATCTGTTAATAATATTCCATTGGGATTTGTTCCACATTTTCCGCGTGCCCACTTTTTTTTTATGTGAAATTAATTTGCCACATTTTCGCCATTAATTAATTAATTGAATGTTTGAAATGTTTACAAGTTGTGTTTGCTTAGTCTCGCGGCTACACTTTGCGGCATTTGTTTGGATACGAGAATACGGATTCGCGGCTGGCCAATTTTTATCTATTTATCTCCCGCTGCTTTATTTCGTTATTTGACGTAGTTTTTCCGCTTGATTAAAATATCATTTGTCGATTGACGGAAAACTAGTTTCGATTGGAATTTTATTGGGTGGTCCCGCCAGCGAGTGGTTCTAAATGAAGAGTTTGGGAAAATTTTTTGGAAAGCTTTTAAAAGTAATTTATGGGGTTTGGAATTATCAAACATAATTTTAGATATTAGAAGGAAATTTTTAGGAATTAGAATAACTAAAATAATTTTTTCAGCTGCTTCGGATTATTATTTGTGGCGAAATATGCAAATTTTAGGCAAGTATTTAGTTTGAACCTTCATTTTTATTTTTATTTAATTTTTTCTAAAATATATAGCAACCAAAATTTATTTAATTTCAAATATTGTTTTCAGTTTCCTATAAATTCCACAAAAAATTAGTAATAAATCCCCCCCAAGCTTTATTATTTGTTATTAATCATTTACTTTGTACAGAAACTATTATTAACCTAATGTGACATATGTCGATCTGTTGATCTCTGTTACCCTGTAGGCCTTTTGTGTCTCCATAATGCCACCCGGCCAATACCCTTGGGCTCTTCAATTACGGCTCAAAGCCCGTGTAAGTCGTCGTGTAAGCTTTGTATTGTTATCACATCCGATTGCTGATGTGTTGTTGCAAGTGCAATGCAAAGCGCATTAGTGCAAAGCCTCCAACTCACAAACAAGCCCCCCTTTTACCCATTTCAAGAGTTTGGATAATGTGTGTCGCCTTAGCCATCGAAAACATTGAGGAATTACAAGCCCTAAGCTGAGACAGAGATAGATGGAAGCTCAATAGAGAGAGAGAGAAGGAGAGTTGGCAGCCGAATCCGGAGTTAATCCTTTTGACAAAACGTTTACGGGCCAAAATGGAAAGGCAATTGGCTGGGCTAACTGGCTAAAACAATTAGCCAGACAAAGGAGAACTAGTCAGTGGTGGCAATTGTCTGTGTTTTTTGAAAATATATATTGAATATAATATAAATAAAATTATTTTAAGGAAATGTTACTGTTTAAAATAAGATAATCCAATTTTTTACAATTTCTAAATCATAATAAACTTCCTTATTTCTATATTTATATTTTCCTTGAATTTCTTTTGCTCCTGCCTGCACTTTAATTTCACAAATCTCAGCCGCCAGGCAAAGGCAAAGAGAGAGATAGATTTGTATCTTTTAGATACAAACTAGTCGAGAGCTATTAAAATGGCCGCAGAGCAAAACAAACCGAGAGTAAAGAGTTGGCGGTTAGGCCAAACAACAACACAACAAATTGATGGACGGACGGATGTGTGCCAGCAAACATATGTACTTAATATATATATTTATAAATATATATATATTTGTGGGTGTGCGGGAGAGCGAGATAGCGCCGTAAAACAAAAGTGTTGATGGATATTTTCCTCGTGCGATGATGACGCTGAAGTTGTGTGCTTCTGAGTGCTATCTCTTTCCACCTTGCCTTGGCTTTTCCTCGTTTTTCCCGTGCATTTGTGGAGATTCATCAAATTTTCAGAAACGTAAAATATTCAACACACACACACCCGCACACACACACACAGTTGCCATGGCTCACAAATATATAAATCCCTTTGTGCTGCGGCAAAAGCATTTTATGGACTTTACAGTTTTTAGTTGCTGCTGCTGCTGCGGATGGTGCTGATGTGGCTCCAAACAGCATAGCAAATGTGCAACAGCCACAGGAGGCAAAGGAAGCCACTGGCAGCAGCAGCATCCAGCGATTGGAAGCTGTTCGAAAAGCACAAACTAAGTACACAGAAAGAAATTATGAGGGGGAGGTATATAAAAATATTATTAAATAAGTTTTTGATGTTTTTTTTTTACATTTTTTTATACGATTTGTTGTAGAATTGAATTAAAGAGTGTAACTTATATAAAGTAAATAATAAAAATAAATTGTTTTAAAATTTATATTGAATAAATAACCCAAAAAAATATTTTTAAAAGTACTTCAAGTTTAAAATTAAAATATTTAAATTCTTAAATACATTAAATTAACTGCTTTCAATATTTTACATATTTTATAATATATTATTTCACAGTATATTATTTAATATAAATAATATTTGCATATATTTTTTTTAATAAGTAGATAGAAATATACATTTATAGATAGATAATAATAAATAAAATGCCTGTATTTAAAATCTAAGAAGTATTCATAATCTAATATTTTAAGTATTAAGTAATTAGAATTATATTAAGTATTTAATACATAAAATATTAGTTTATATTTGTATTGTATATTTCTTAAATCCTCTTTAATATTAACGGAAAAAATGTATTCTAAGTATGCTAATCCCTCTCAAAATTCTAAAAAAATCTAAAAACCTTTATATCAATTAACTCTCCCCACTTTCTCCCTGTGTAGATGAGGATAAAAACAGAAATCAACACTGGCAGTCGGACATAAAATCTTTTTTAAAGTAGCATAAGCATATCGAAAGCTGAAAAATGCTCTTTCGACTTGAACTTTTTTATGGACCTTTTTACCATTTGCATTTTATTGCCAAAACATAAATGCAGCTGCCAGCCAACGCACTAGCACTCGCACTCGGTCTCTCTTCTTGCCCTTTTGCCCCTCTGCTCGAATGCATTTGCTTATTTTTAAAACATTTGACTTGCATTGGGCTACCAAACTCTCCAGTCGATTTGTCGATTTCCTTCGATTTCCTTTCTGGGTGGCTTGTTTGTTTGTTCGCTGGTCGCTCTGTTTGCGTTTCCTCTGTTTGCTTTTGGCGTAGCTGTCGCATAACTTACCAAGGCCCGAAACGTTCAATTAAAACGCAAGTGCAAATACTGTAACCCAATCGGATCGGATCGAATGGGGAAATCGTCGGGTAAAAATTGATGAACTTAGGCAAAAGGCGACTCGCTCGGTTGGCTTTAATTGATGGCCGCCTGCTCTTCATCTGCTCTTCTGCTTCGATATGTTTGTGGTTTTTGTGCTTTTCGGCTTCCCTGCTTGCTTGCTTAGCAAGAATGGGGCCAATGAGGCGTCATTTCTACGGGCAATTTGCTGGGAGGCGAGCAGTTCTCTCAGATACTATATGTGCACAAATAATCGTTAATAGTGGAGATCATTAAGTCGATTCGGCTCGTGAATTTTCAAGAAAATATCTTCCAAAGTACACAATAAAAAATGGAAAATAAAAATTAGATAAAGGGGGTGTCACAGAAGTTTTCTAAGATTTTGGAAATTATAAAAGATATTGGTGAATAATTTTTGAAAGATTTTTAAAGTAAGTCTTCTCTCAGAGTAAGCTGACTTTTTGGTATTTTTAAGCTCCATAACTTTTTTTGTGTGTACTGTAAACTTTTAAAGAAGGTTTAATTTCGGCTGCTGTCCCATTAATTGCCATAACTCTTTTTCAATAATTCATATGGACCCCATTTGTTTGGCTTAAGAGCTTAACAGTGTCGTCTCCTCTTGGATCTTTCGAAATCTTTCGCTGAGTCCGCTTCCTGCACCTGTCAGCTTATTTATTCAT